GATGCAATTCTTCAAGCCTTGAACATATGCCAAACTTTACGCTAATTAATTCAATCATGACTTTCAATAAGTTTTGAACTTAAATTGAAGAACACTTGAAACAAAAGATCCTCAACTAGAAATCCACTTGAAATGTCGCCTAAAACGAAACTGAGATAAGTTCTGAGATTAGCTAGATCAAAGCCTTAAAATAACTCACACCATATGGCTCAAACCGATGTTTAACTATATGGTTTAGAATCCACTTGATCATATCTCAATTGTTCGACCACAAGTACATAGGCTCATCATTCCTTCCACATACTCTACAAATGCTTTGTGATCACCATAACAAACCCCATGACCTGAAAAGTTTCTAGATAATCATGGCGTCAGGCCAAATGATCATCTTAGAGAATAATCGCCAAACATCGTCATTGTTCATGCCAAGAAAAGTAAGAAGGGTAGGACAAATTTGGGGTATGACAGTAAACACCAATTTAGGTCTTTCTTAGATTCTATTTTTGTTCTACTCACTTTAACGATTTTAGATTTCTCTGTATTTCTATTTTTTCTTGTAATTAGAAGAACAAACAAGCATTATTGTATTTTACTTTCATTAGTTAATCCAAGTTTTATTTCTACCTTATATTTATTCAGATGTTTATGTTTATCACTATGCTTAAGTTTTCTAATACCATGAACGAGTAGTTTCATCATAGACTTAAGATTACGAGGACTGCCAAAATGACATGCCTAATGTAAACTCTTAGGTAAAACATTGTTATGAGAATTTATGTCATTGCTCTGATTCGTTGGGTTTTTCACATATATATCTGTGAAAGTAGAGATAACATTAGATAGTATTCAATACATTGAATTTTGAGTGTTGATATCTGAGCTAAAAGGTCAGACGGTGAAACCAAGACACAAAAGAGTCTTTGGTTTACACGAGAAATTAATGCATTTCTAAAATATAGATTTTCATAAGAGGATCCTAAACAAATGAATTAACTCTAACAAAGTAAGTGATTCATCAGTTCAGGATACAATCATATGCTCTGAAAAGAGATATAATTTTATTTATTTATTTTATTTATTTATTTTGTTTATGTAATGTTGGAATTCTCGTAGCAGAGAAAAAACAAAAGTTTGACATGAGAAAGTCATAGATAGATAATCATAATTCTAAGACTATTCTTTATAAAATTCTTAATCAATCAAAATATCTCAATCAACTTTAACATTGTTTTAGCTAATCATTGAATACACAAAAATTAGTAATACAAATAGTCCTCATCAAGACGATAATTTACTATGTTGATATGATTGTGTACTTGGGGCCTATCAAGTTTTCTGGTGCTGTTGCTTGTGAATATTTTAGATATTGATTTCCTGTTTTAATTGATTAGACTAAGACAAACTTTATTTGTTATTTAATTTTTAATTTTTCTTGTTTTTTGTTGAATGTGAGAACCCACAATGTTGGGATATTGTTCAACCAGTTCTTGAGATCAAACCTAAATTTATTCATCTTTATCGAATACTATGATGCTATGAAAATGAATAGAGTGACCGATGGTGATATTTTCCTAAGATGTTTTCCTTTCTCGCTAAGGTTCAGGGCCAAAACATGTCTAGATTTTGCCTCAACCCGCCTCATCCGCTCATTCTCCCAACCTATGGTAAGGGATTGCCTTAGAAATCCGTCATAGTAAAAAATATTATATCTTGGTGTGTTACTAAGGTTTCAGGGACTCATTCACTTCGTGTGGGGTTGGTCTATAACGGTGGAATACCTCCATTATGCAATAGATCTACATGATATGGTGGAATGCTTTTTATCCATGGTCGGTATGTGGCTCAACTCTTGTTCATCATTATATCTCTTAAGTGTAAATGTGAAAAAATCAAAGGAAGATTCCCAAATGATATTGAAAGGAATTTTCCTAATCGCGTATGAGAAGTGAATGGAAATCTGGCGGTTAATAATGGTTTTCTATTATGCTAATGTTCGATGATTTTGGGTGTAACTTCAAACATTGTGATTCCTAACTTACTAACAACAAGAAGTGTGATGTATTTAGGTTAGAATTATGTGTACTTGAGACTGATTTAATGTCTTCCTTTTATAGGAAGCTTCTAGGGTTTTCTTGGGACCTATAAACTTTTGTTAGATACAATTGTCTCCAAATGCACGTGTTAGAGGATCCTTGAAAGTATAATATCATGGTTCTCAGTATCTAGTAAGCTCTAATTAAGTGTACTTGTAGAGCATACCCATCTCATAATTGCGCAATATTAGAACATTCTTTGTTTTTAGTTCCTTGTGGGCTTTGATGTTAATGAGTCCAACTATATTTTTGATTCAATGGTCCTTGTATGTTTGACTTACCTCAATTTGATTTTAAGGTGTGGCCATTCTATGAACTTGAAATCGTTGGATCATTTCTTACGTATTAATGCTCTTGACTATCTTTGTTGACTAGAAAATAAGCCCAACGACTCATTTAGCTTATCTAAGGTTGGGTCTTGTACATGTTAGGAGACAAGTGGTCTGGGCCTTAGCTTAGGCCAAAACAAAATTAAATAGTCCAAATAATATTAATTTATCAACTTAACTAATGCAAATCCACAAATTCGAAAGAATAAAGATAAAATTTAAATAAAAAAAACACATAAACAAATTGTTTATCTAGTTCAGTCCAAATTGATCTACTATAGTTCAGAGTTCGATTTTCTGATCCACTGCCAATGAAGGTTTTATATAGGAGATTAAGAATATAAGACACTAGCTCACCAAGTTCATAGAAATTTCGAGTTTCTACCAATTTAAGTATAAGTGTCCTTATGGGATAGCGTCAAGGAAAGGCACTAAGTCAAATGCTAGGAATGTCTCTCTCACTGTGGGATAGGATAATCTTCTCTAAAAATTATTAACTGTGTCCCCATGACATTTCTGATGTCATGAAAAAAGACGAGTTATTGCTAACGGATTAACATATGGGCGTTGAGGCAAAGTGTGTTGTGAGATTATGTCGATGGTTGAAGAGCTTTCTACCAACATCGAAGTTGCTCCATAAAATTTAGACCTGGTTTTCAACATGTAAAAATTCTTGAAGTGGTTTACCTTTTAAGTTAAGTATACTCTACTTTAGATGGAGTATAATAGTTTTTAAAACTATTATTTTTAGTGAAGACAATGTGAAAATTCTTGAAGTGATGTAGCTTCAAGTGACTATACTTCAAGTGACTATACTCTTTATGAAAGAGTATGATTATTGCTGAAGACAATGAAAATTACTATATTATTTTCAATCAAGGTGAAAATTATTGGGGTTGGTTGAAAAAATACATGTTGAAGAAGTCTCACATCGCTTAGTTTTGTGAAGGAAGAGGGGGTCAAGACTATATATAGGATTCAAGTTCTTCGTTATAAGATGTACAAGTCAAAAGTACTTTAAACTTATATTTGACTTTTTATATTTTCTCTTAAACTCTTGTGTTAGAGTGTTGCCAAAAATAATTAAATATTTTCTTTAGAGAGTGTGGGTGTATTGGAGCCTTGAGGTGGTTGAGGGTAGTCTATGTGTCGTAATAATTTTCACATAGTGTTATTCTCTGGTTGTCATTTGACAACGGTCGTGATTTTTTTCTTCAGTTTTGGAGTTTCTACGTTAATCTCTTGTGCTGTTATTATATTCTTCTTTTTTCTCTATGTTTGGTTTTTTTCCTAACAAGTGGTACTTGAGTCTAGTCAAAACCTTTTCTACAGCAAAACAAAATCTTCCCAACCAACATAGAAAATAAATTTTATTTTATGTCGTGGAAGATCAGACAAAACTACAACCACATAGCATACTAAAAAAACTTATACCCTACCAAAGCAAGGCTTTTGATACCACTTGTTGGAAGAAAATGTTATGAATTCAAGAGACCTTGGCACCACATATCCACACAAAACCTTAAGAAAATGGAGGTATAGGTCACCTCTCTTATAAACCCAACATTTTCTTCATTCCTAGTCAATGTGAGATTTTAACACTTCACACTTGAAACCCAACAATCTCCCTCAGTAATGTAAGTTACCAACATCACTAGCCTTGATCCACACTAGGATCCACTTCCACTCCCCCACGGAGCCTAACCGGACTTTGATACCACTTATTGCAGAGTTTGATGAGCAAAGTCTGAAAATATTAATAGACAATGTTCATGATTCAAAATATTTTGACACCACATATTCACCAAAATTCTTAAGACAAAGACAATGAAGTATATGTCACATCTCTTATAAACCCAACATTTTTTTCATTTTTAATCGATATACAATTTTAACACTTTTACACTTAAAACTCAATTCTTACCCTTTTTCACTTTGCATTTATATTGGAACGATAATATACATATGCTAACTAAAATTACTTTTAAAAATATCACCTCCCTCTTCTATTTATACATTTTTTTAATGTATAAAATGGTTATATGAACACTAAATTTAAGACAAGGAGTTGCATATTTTATGAGATCGGTGTGTCCATATCAACACAGGAAGCTCACCTAAGTTACATTTTTAGTCAACAAAGAGATTGATCAAATCAATTAATCGATAAATATATATACCTATTTTGTTTCTATTAATATTCGACACGAACAAAAGAATCCAATATACGTGTCATACTCATGTGTGCATTGTCCTTTTCATTTTCAAATCTGAGATCTTAATTAACAAACTATTATTTATCAATAATATTTTGAGTATACCCACCCAACTTGGTGCATGGTTCATATACACATGACACATGGAACCAAATAACCTTTATTTTTCTGGTATATACACACATCATTATACATTATCACATACTATATTCAACCCTAGTTGGAATGACACATGACCCACCATAACCATCAATATTTTTCCTATATATATATACAAGCACAAGATTCAAAGCCAAAGCATATCCATCATTTGTATAACTCTGAAAATCTTACAAGAACCTAAAGAACCAATAATCTCAACTATGGCTTGTTGGTCTGCAGAAAATGCCACAAAGGCCTATCTCAGCACTTTAAAAATGGTAAGTTAATATTTTTCTCATATTATTACTATCTATGTTTTGAATTTAATTTAGTTTCAACATTCATATACTGTTTTTTTATCTAATTTTTTGTTTTTTTTTTCTTCAGGGTCAAAAAGCTAAAGAACCAAACGTAGCTGAGTTTATATCAGCACTAGCAGCAGGAAACAATGCACAAATGATGATTGTAGCATGTGCTTCTGTTGCGGATTCCACCACACTAGCTTTAATCGCTGCTGCTAATCAAACTGGTGGAAAAGTGATTTGTATTGTCCCAAACCATAAAGTTCTAAGAGCATCCAAACATGCCCTAGGAAAAGCTTCTCATCAAGTGGAGTTCATAGTTGGAGAAGCTCAAGAAGTGCTTGTGTTGGATGAATATGAAGGAGCTGATTTTTTGCTTATTGATTGTAACATAGAAAACCATGAAGAGATTCTCAAGGCAATAGAGGAGGGTAGAAAGGTAAATGATGGTGCTATTGTTGTAGGGTATAATGCATTTAGTTGCAAAGGGTCATGGTTGACAAGTGGATCCAAGACTCAGCTTTTGCCTATTGGAGAAGGGCTTTTGGTGACTAGATTTGGGATGGTTGAGAATAGTCCAAAATATGGAAGAAGTAGAACTATGGGAAAGGTGAAAAGTCATTGGGTGGTTAAGGTTGATAAATGCACTGGTGAGGAACATGTGTTTAGGGTTAGATCTCCTCACGGAAAAGTTGTTCATGCTTGATTGATTATGTCATTTATTTTTGTACAAATCAGTAGAACAAAATTAGATTAAGAGTTTTGAATAGTGGTCGATATTTGTCAAAATGTCACGATTTTTGATATCGTGAAAAATCGTAGTTAAATGTAACTGTCTCAATCGCGATTTTATAATGTGATTTCAACAAATATTATGCCACCATTCTAATAGTAGTTTCAGAATTCGCAATTAAAGGATTAAACTCCATCTCTATTTTATTTCTAAGTAAAATGGGGTTTGCTTTTATTAAAAGAATTTGGAGTGTCATGTTTTACCATGTAAATAGCAAATTATATTCATATATTTTCACATTCTATGAATGGTTGTGTTTGGGATATGTGTGTTTAATTATTAAAGAGGCTGTGTACAAATTATAGAATCTTGGTCAAGTCAAATTCATACCTAAATGCCGTGACAAAAGTTTAAATCATTTATAGGGTCACATGAATCTTAGAAAATTTCTATTTGGGTCGGTTAGACTTTGACTCTAAAACCTACAAATATATAGTGGATGAGCATGAACATTTTAAAGATATAGGTGGAGATTCATTACTATTTTTAAAAAATGAGTTAATTTGTAAGTTTCTAACAATTTATTTACCTAATAAATAAATTATAAGAAAAACACAGAAATCCAAAGAGTTAAATGTTGGACCACATGCACACCACACAACATTCACCCAGAGATCCAATTAATTCATTACTGAATATTATTAATTATATTTTCTTTAATAATATTTAAGAATGTGTATTTTATTTTAAAAAGAAAAAATATATAAATCTTACTACTTCATTCTCTTCTCATTTAAAAAATAAAAATTTATCTAAAAAATAATATTTTATTTTATTTTATTTTTCACAATACATTCTATTATTATTACGTTACATCTTATAAAATCATTTAAGTCTCAATATCAACTATAGCGGTACCATTTATTATCTGTTTGTCTTCCATTTCAATATAATTCTTATCATATATATTTGAAAAAATATCCTCTAAAACTAAAATTCTTAAATTATTTGTGCAAACTTGTTTATATATTTTTTCTCCTAAAAATTAAAGTATAAATATTTGATCAATTTGTATTATAATAACTTTGGTTCTACTTGAGTAAAGAGTTGAACCCTTGATCTGAGCATCCACGTGAAAAAAACAAAACAGGCTGTATAAACATAAAACCATATGAGAGTACCTTAATCTCGTTGTTTTGTGCTAAATTAAAATCACCATGATCAGTCTCTGCTACCTCTAACGTGGGACATTTGTGTGTTTGTCTATATAATTTGAAGCACAAACCTTGAATAGTGCTGTGTGCTTAGTTGTAATATTAATATATAACATCATGTAATTAAGAAAATAATAATTCATTAGCAAAGTACAGTTTTAATTAATTAGCACTCAATAACAGCTAATTGTTGCATACATGTTTTCAGAATCACTGCCACCAGCACTTACATTTTTTCATGTGAGCTTGTCTTCAATTAGTATAACAATTGCTTCTTATAATAGTCTGCTTCTGAAATTATAATAAACTGTGGCTAGTACAACATTTTAAACTCTTCCAACATTAATTTATTTATGTACGGAGACAACATGTTGGAGTTGGTTTTCAAATTGAAGTTTCTTAGAAAATGTTTCACATTATTGTTTAGTATGGTGAAATAGTCCATCTTTTGACAAAAAAATTATCTTGCAGTCAACAAATTGATATGTCTAGTGGAATAAGCTAGAGATAGTTTTTCAAGAAAAGAAGGGGGAGGTAATTAGGGTTTCATGAACCTAATTTCGTTCAATATAAAAGGGAGTGGTTCATCGGTAAAGAGAAGGACATTGAGTCATATGTTAGCTGTGGGCAAGGCGGATGTATGCCTCATCCAAGAAACTAAGGTTCAAGTTATGAAGACTATGAAGACTATGAATGGTTTTCATCTGCGTCTATAGGTCAATTTGGGGTCTATTGACAGTTTGGAGGAAGGATGAATTTATTCCTATGTCAAATTTCAGAGGTTGTGGCTTTTTAGGTGTTAGTGGTTACTGGAAAAAAGCTCATATCTTTTTTGTGAATGTCTATTCTTCATGCTTTGCAGTGGAAAAGAGAAAGTTATGGAAGGAGTTAATCGATTTAAAAAGTAGAAGTCCTAATGGAGATTGGGTGGTAGTAGGAGACTTCAATGCCATTAAATTATTGGATGAAAGAAAAGGTAAAGTGAAAACCAGTTCTTTGGAGATGGAAGATTTTAATTCGTTCATTAAGACTATGGAACTTGTTGATTTACCAGTGGTAAGAAACAAATACACCTAGTTTAAGCCTAATAGAAAATGCAAAAGTAGGATTGATAGGATACTCATCACTGAAAATTTGATTCAAAAGTGGAGTGTCATAGCTCAATATGTTAGGGATGGAGACATATCAGACCACAAGCCGATATGGATAAAGTCTAGCTCTGCAAATTGGGATCCTAAGCCCTTCAAGTCATTTAATTATTGGTTTTCCCATTTGGAGTTTTTAGTTTTAAGACTTTTGTGTTGTAAAGTTGGGAGTGAAGTGTTGATCGGTGGTTTTTATGCGTTATTTTACCGTTAGTTTTAGTTAATCTTCTTATATGTTTAGTTGCATTTTATTTCCTTTTACTGCATTTTATGCTTTGGTTTTGTATTTCCATTTTTTTAAATTCAGGTAAGCATTCAGGAAGAATCGGAGCGAAAAAGTGGACAATACAGTGTTTTCGGGAATGAAATTGGTAAGTTACAAAAGAAATGACATGGCTACTCGTGTTGCCTGACACGGGCTGTGTCAGGAGGATATGCCTTATCAAGAAAAAGTGCAAGTAAGTGAGAATCCAGGGGGCTGACATGGTCGCCCGTGTCAGCTGACACGACCCATGTCAACAAGCTTGGAACTGAGAAGTTTGTTTGCAGAAAGACAGGGAGCCAACACGGTCGTCCGTGTCAGCTGACACGGCCCATGTTGGCTGAAACGCTTCATCTTCTTATTTTCTTGTATTTTTCACTTATGTGATATGTGAGGGTATTTTTGGTATTTCTCGACTACTGTGTTGGACCTGGGAGTATTTTAGACTCTTTTTTAGAAGGAAAAATGGACTTTTGACGAGGGAGAATTTTACGATCAAGATTGGAGAGATCAAGGAGATTGGAGAACTAAAGGTTTTCATGAGCGGGAGCAATTGAAGATCAAAGGAATCATATTATCTTGTAATGTCTAATTTTTATTTTGTATTTTCTCTGAACCATATGAGTAGCTAAACCCCTCAATGTTAGGGGGTGTCCCTGGATTGCTTTTGTAATGATCTTGATTTCTTTTGTTTAATGACATAAGTGTTTTTTCTTAATCATTTTTATCGTTCAATGTTCTTAATGATTTTTCTATCGGACAAATAAAATTTGATTTACGGTTGACCTTAGATCAGACAAACCATTGTTAACGCGTTTGTACGATAATGCATCGGTAGATATTACCTAGGACTAGGAATACCCTGTTGCACTTGGAACACTGTTGACATTATAATGCTTGAGATCAAACGTAATTACCTATGGACATGGTAATTAGGTTATGACATCAAAGTTTTTCTCACTAAGGACTTAGGAGTAAACAATAAACAGTCAAGAAATTATTATTTTAATCGTTGTCTCTAAAATAAGGATTAAGGTTGTTACAATGCAATTCATACATCGTCCCTAGCATGCTTCTCATATCTGTCAGAAACCTATTTTACTCTTTTGCTTTATTTTCTCTCTGTAGTTTATTATTTGCAAACAAAATCCAAAACCCCCTAGTACTTTTATTTAATTGAATTATTATAGAGCTTGTATTTCCTACGCAATCCTCGAGATCGATACTAGGGATAAAACCCCTATTATAACTACAATCGGCAAAAATAGTACACTTATTATTTTTCCGATCAAGTGTTTGTTCCTTTTTGGCACGCGTGTTGGCTTGGTCCTTATCCATTGAAATTCGTTTTCCCTGATCTTTTTGAGGCCTCAATGTTTAAGATTTATGTAGTGTGTGATATGGGTGCATGGGAAGATAACATATGGTATTGGAAGTTGGGTGTTGATATTCTAAATATAGATGTTTCACTGTTAGAAAGCCATAATGAGTTGTTAGCTATTCTTAGTGATGCTAGGCCCGTGTGGAATTCACCAGACGTGTTTTGTTGGAAAGGTGGAATTCAGAATGTGTTTTCTGTCAAAGCCAATTATTTTTCTTTGTTGGAGGCAGTTTCTGGTTTGGAGGAGTTGGAGATTATACCCAAGACTACTTTAAATTTTCTTTGGCTGTCCAAGGCCCCTCTTAAAGTGAAGGTTGTTGCTTGATAGGCTTCCTACTAGGCTCAATTTGGTGGCCAGGGGTGTAATCTCAAACCCCCATGAAATGGTGCGTGTCTTCTGTTTCTATGGGGATGAAATTGCAGACCATCTCTTTTTCATTGCCTGATAATATCAGTTGTTTGGAGGATGTTGTAGGAGTGGTTTGGTTTGATTGAGGAGCAGTATGACTCGGTTTCAAATCATCTGTTGGGTTAGGTGTTGAAGGTGGGATCAAAGTGTTCACATAAGGATGTTGTATTCATTTGGTTATGCGTCTGTTGGACAATATGGTGGACAAGAAATCAAATCATATTCAATGATTTGGTGGGTAATCCTATAGACTTATTTAATAATATTATTCTCAACTCTTGGAGGATGTTGGTTAGTGGAATCCATAGGAAGAATCATTGTAGTTATTATAATTGGATTAAAAATCCAACTAATTTTTTGTAATTAGTTTATCTGCTGTTATGCTGCAGTTCTTTTGGATTCGTGTAAATTGGTTGTGTACCTCTTTGTACACTCTTTAATTCAATATTTCAGCTTATAAAAAAAACAATTCTATAATGTAGCACCATCATGGTGTTTTTGCATATTATAGTATAAATATTGTATTATTTGATCAATTTGTGCTATGATAACTTTGGTTCTA